TTTATAAAATTTTTTATTCGTAGTCTATAACTTTAGAACAACTGATTAAAAAAAACTAAAAATATAACTATTAAAGGATTATTATTATATCTTTTGAATGGTATATTAAAAATCAATTATTATGTTCGTTGTTACAATTTTTTTTGTTAAATTTAATTCATAAATTTAATAATTTGTGTGCCCTCCCTTTGCTTTTAATTAAATATGCAATTCTTCGTTGCATATTCTAATAAGTTTTATACATTTATTTATAAAATTTTATTTCACACTTGTTCAATTCATTATCAAAGATTATTCATGTCATTAGACAAATTTGTGTAATCTGAAAGTTTTCTTTTAAAATAACTTCATAGATACTCTATAGGCTTCAATCTGATTATTGTAAAGATCAATATAAAACTCTAATGTATGCTGATTTGTTTAACATACCTCATGAAACCATTTCTCATCATTTTTTTAATTATTTAGTTTTTTCAAAATGACTTTTTGTTTACCAGATCTCACCAACGATCGACTCTCGGGATCCCATCTATCGTAGTGACCCTCTATCCAATCTGCCTCGTATACTATGGAACATCCACCTCTTGTTTTATATTTTATTCCTTCTAATTGCGAATAATCTATCCATTCGATAATACGTCGTGGTGACACAGTTTTTTGCTGACACTTTTTAATTAATCCATCCACTTTTTTATTTTCCGAGGTCCACGTTTCAAACATACGCACCAAATAATTACGCACGCATATTTCACAGTACAAGGTTGCTCGACACAAATTTGAACAAGCATCACAAGATCTTGGCTCATTTGATTCATGATTTATTTTCAAAAGGTCGTATTTCTTTTGATTTTTATAAATCAAAAATTTCTTTTCTGGTTCGGTTAGTGTTGGATCATTGGCGAAAATGTCGCGAAGATATTTTTCCCGTTGATTAAATGACTGATGCACACTTTGATCCATGCAAAAGAATGCCCTATTCCAAATTAACTTTAATTTATTGCTCCAATAAATACCTTGAGCCATAAATACAATATTTATTAGACGAAATTGAAAGATAGAATGAATTATTATCTTGAGATTGAATAAATGTGACGCTCGATTATCCGACAAAAAAAAGTGACAGAGTACGAAATCTGACCTTTTTATAGCCTTGGTTGCATTGATTATTAGTATAATAGTAGTCGAATTTCTGAATCTTCAGAGAATTCCGTGTGAAGTTTCCATGGATCAACAATAGAACTTTTTTTTTCTTTTTAGAATTCGGAGATAAAGAAATATCATGGTTCCACATAGATAAGAAATCATTGACTTTAGGAAGAGTATTTATGCTTGTCAGACATGTGATCAAAACAAAACTATCATGCTAATAGCCAATGTCTTTTGTGAACCAAACACTTCAAAATTCAAGTTCTAAAACTGCTTACCTCACACACTTGGCTGGAAAGGTATTCTGAAAGGAAAGTTCAATTTCATAGAATTGTTTTTACAATACTGTAATTAATCATACTATACGCAGTATATTGAGAAACACTTACTTAATTGACCGTGTCAGGACAGAGTGGAAACGGATTTTTTTCTCGCACAGATGATATATCCCACAAAAATAAAATCGACATGTTCTAATATTTAAAGTATACAGAACTTTCTAAATTTTACTGAGAAATTGTCATGAATGCACGCCTCAATTATTAAAAAGTGAATTTAATAAATTAATAATAAAGGCGTTCAAATAAATTTAATGATCATTCCTTTGACAAAAATGAACATCAGATTTCACACGGAAAAACGAATTGAAACTAAATAATTGATTGCCTAGAACATGAAAATTTTATTTATCTTGTAAGTCTATTGAATCAACCATTATGTTTGTATTTCAAGAGATAACATTGTGCATACGCACTTTCCGCAATTTTCTCTTTATCATGTTGTTCACGAGATGCAATAAGCTTTTAGCCAATCCCACAAATATGGAAAGGAATCAAAGTTTTTGTAGTTGCGCAACATATTCAAATAATTTTTTATATGTAGGCGCACTACATACGCATCATGTACTGTATATGTATATAAGCTGTCATATTAGCCCTTATAATTACAATAAATTTTCCATTTAAAATGTAATATTATTGTTTTACACATTAAGGCTGATTGGATGTACGTAGATATAATGTAATTACCCGTTCGAATACTCCTTAAAAACTTGGTTTGTCACGGTTCTTTTTTATCAGTTCTCTTAAAATAAGACGTGGGGAGGGTATTAGAACCTAACTAATATATCATTTATGTTTTAAATTATTTTAACCTCGCTTATTGTGCAGTCAGTTTCAATGTAAAATCATTGATCTCGCAAAGATATTTTGCATACTTATTACGTCATTAGTATACAAAATAAATATTTTGTGTCACATTGCCCGTGCATGAAACGGACTGCTACGACGAAAAAAAAGAATTGTTTCATTAATGCACGTTCGACAAATAAGAGAACGTTAGCGATGGTTCTATTTCTATGAAACTTTGTATGCACATATGCACATATGCACATACTAAGACAAAATTATAAAACGCTTTAATGGATGTTATACTGCGTATACGCAGTTAACACCTCCATGCATAAAAATGAGAAAAAATACAAATGCCCAAATCAGATTTATTGAATTTATTAAATGTTTATCACTTAATAGGAATTATTACTGCTGCGGGCTTAACGGCGAGTCATTAACAAGTTTTTCGGTTCAATAACCACGCCAAATTCGTGATATTTTGTGCACCAATAACCTAAGATTACTATATATTTATTAAACTACCTTACTATCATTAATATTCCGCATCTACGCCACATGAATAGCTAGCTACTTTTTCCCAGCTATCATGTTTCATTTTTGGCGCATACATTGACAACCTCTCACGAAAAATATGGAGCTTGCTGCGATTAATGAATAACACGTCCCATCGATTTTCCCCCTCACACTACATACTCGACAATAGATTCATATAAAAATAAAAGTATTTCTCAAACTCTCTTACTAGCTTAGATAATCGAGAAAAATGGCGCGAAAATAATATCTCCAAAATCTCAATACTTGTCTTTTAAAAAATGCAGTAATACGAACGCACTTTTAATGGGATAAATGCATAAATTATGAATTTTTTTCGATTAAAACTGCTATCTCGTCTGATTTGCATTAATTCTCGAATTCCTTATATTTTTCATTTTCATTTTCTCTGTACCATTCATCGCGACATATACTTTAATGCTTCACATTCATTATTCTCCATTCCAATTCCGTTTAAATAATAAAGACAAACGGATATACTCCAGTCACATCATCTATTTCAATTGATTTTGAAAATATTCAAACACTTTATGTTCATCTTTTTCATCACAAATTTCATTTACATAATACTTGCCACCATCAATTGCTCCGATTACGTAACTCATATCTACAGATTTCTAGAAATATTCATAATGCTTTGCATTTGTTAATCTCAACTACAGTTCCATCCTCATAATTACTCGTGATATCGATTGTATGTTCCAATTGTGCTATTATCATGGGTAGATTTTTAAAGCATTCGAATGACTCGTTTTCACCCTACTCTGCAAAAGTAGCAAAACAATAAGTACGCAACTGAAGAGACATTCCGTAAGCACCTACCATACCAGCAGATTTTTTATAATAAATAAATGCTTGCTAATATCTTCCTCAACTCAACGATATTTCGATAATAATCACCAACTTTAAATGCTCCAGCATCCCCATATATGTATATTTCAGAATTATACTGAAATACCTTACATTCGTCTTTTTAAACCTCAATTTCAACAAAAAAAAATAACAATTGCCGACATTATGCGTGCAGAACGCATAATTCATTTCGGTCGATTTTTGATGTTCATTCACACTACCCATCTTAGCAGACACTTAATAAAACTCTAATCTTGTCATTCCCGTAAATACCAATTCCATAGAAACAGCATGTTCTGAGACCATATGTTCGGTCGGAATTACCGTTCGCAGAAGCATCAAGTAATATTTGTAATATTTAAGTGCCTTGCGTTCATTATTTTCAATCCCAATTTCATCTTCATAGTAATGACCATCTTGAAACATCCCTCTGCATGACCCACATCAGCTGATTTCTAGTAATGTACAAATCCCATACTTACATCCTTATCCATCTCAATTCCATGTATATAACAAACCCAAGACCATATACTGTATCTCATCAATGTTTTCAATCTTGACAGAATTTTAACAAAGGCCATGTCCCCGAGAAATTCTACAATATTCACAGTATTTGACATATCCGAATTCTTTAACCATATTTTTCAACATTTACATTAAGACAACATCTATCAACTGCATATATTCACTCAACGTCGCCCATGTCGGTCGATATTTTAAAATACTCAAATGGTTCATTTTCAGCTTTTTTAAAACCTGCCCCTTCTCTGTAACAACCAATACGAGAATTCCTTGCGCCCATTTTTTTTTCGACTCCATTTCCTTTTTCATAGTGTCGGCCTAAATTAAATGCAGAATTCACGTTACTCATATGACTCGGATTCCATTAAAATAACAGCATCAATCTCCCTTGGCCAGTATATTATATTGTTGGATAAGTTGTTTCTTGACTTTCTTATCCTAAAATATGATTGTTGTCATTTATTACATTTTACTTGGGTGCATTGATTTGTTGGTAATTTGTCTATATCTAAAGCACGAAAAAACAAAATTTTTTATAAAAACATCGATATCTCTTTCTGTATTTTTCCTTTTTGGAATTCTTCTCTTAATCATTTCACAACTGATGAAAGAAATTCAAATAAGTTGTAAGCAAGTAATGAAATCCATTGGCATACAGTAGATGTATAGTACTTACGTAAATCTTATCAAATCAAAAATATAGGTTACGTCTTCATCTAAGTAAAATCGATTTCAACTGTTTCCGCATCATTTGTTTGATTTGTTTGGTTGTTTGAATCACCAAACAAGTCGAGATCAAATTCTTGGGAACTCGTTTTTAGAAAATTTTTTTAGTTCTTCTAATGCACCGCGTGTTCCTTCGGGAAGAACTTTTTCACCAATTGTTTTAATCTGATCATTATTTAGCTGAGCTCAGAGTATGCGATTAAATTTACATAATTACAAATAAAGTATATAACAACTTTCATAAAATTATAGCCATTTACCTTTGATAAATCTCGTAAACACTTCTCTGCTTGTGGTTTCAATGTTGTCCAATCATTAATTGTAGTTCCTAATTCGAGTGCATTAGCTAAAACTTCCTGTAATTCTAAAAATTCTTCTTCTGAGAGATATTCTCTGGTTACATCTAAATCTGATCCATCTATAATTCTCCACCACATCGACCTTTTTATTTTTTTAAAAAGTTTAACTATAATTTAATCATATCAACAAAAGTGCAAAAATGACATTTATAAAGCATTTACCTTGATGAATCTTTGATTCTTTTATCCTCATCTTCTTCTGAAATTAATTTTTTATGATACAGTATTCCTTTTTCAAGCCATGTTGGAATTACACTGTCAAATTCCCATTCAATTATTTCGCTATCATCCACCTCGCTTTCGCCATAACCATCAAAAAAATCGTCACGTAAAGGAGATGTACACGATCGCGCGGAGAGGCTTCCTCGTTATTTTCGTCCGCTTTTCACTTTCGTTCTTGTTTTGCCGAATCAAACCTCATGCCGGCATATTGTTGGGAAATCAACAATTGAGAATTATATGTTTCAAAGTGCTGAATCCCAGCCGATATGCCCGTCCTTATTACCACATTTTCTAGATTACGCTGGATAGTGGAATTACAATAAGACAATATGTTAATACAAAAAATATCATGACCATGCTTACCATGTTCACTCTGTTGTTAACTTCCGATTTCGCTGATTTTTTCATATCATCATTCCATAAATCAATGTTGGTTTGAAGATTGTTGGCTTCCTAGTTTAAAAAATGAAAATATTTAATTAAAATATTGCAATTATCGCAATATATACTGCAAGCAAAATGTCATACACCACACGTGCCATCAGCACATTCCCCACTTCAGGCAAGCGAACCGGTTGCCTTCTGTGATAAGTCACTCGGCCAACGGGCGCAGGGGTGTGGTTTCATTTGAACATGCACAACATCAACACTCCACTTCAGGCAAGCGAACCGGTTTCCTTCTGTGACAAAGTCACGCGGCCGGCGGGCGCGGGAATGTAATTTGTGCAAATATGCTAGAGGAGTAGAACTTAACTTTAAGTCGTTTCTTTAAACTTCTTGCGCACTGATACAAGGGTTCTTTTTCCGGTAGTAATGCAAGAAGAATTTTTAGCTCAGCTCCAAGCGAATTATGAGATTCACGTCTATTCGATTCAGGTACTTTTTTAATGTAATATAAATCCCAATCGTTAACTCCCCATTCCCCAGGAGGTTTATTCTAGTATTCTTAGAAGAAGTTAATATTAGCAGTGAGGTTAAATAAGCTTATTAAAGCAACGGGAAAATACTTACCTGGATGATAGAGAAATGAAATTGTTTCTTTTGATAGTCTGGTGGTCATTATTTTACGTGTAAATAAAGTAAAAAATCGTGTTTTAAAACCGCGAGTGATGATGCGTAGTACAAATGATTAAAAAGGTAGCCAATCACATCACATGCATCTATAGTAACCATTTAATACGTATTTCTTTGCTCTGTGAATTTAATACATTTTAAAATTCAACATAAAGCTCTTTATTATATTTTTTAAGAAAAAATGAAAGTAAAAAATAATAGAGTAGCAGGATGTTTCAAGGGAGGAAAGACATAAAAAACACGCCTGCTTGTTAAGCCTGCCGAGCCCTAACCCATATAATGGCAGTTCCTTCCCTGCTACTCCGTAGTGTAAATGACTAAGTACCTATCTTTTCCAAGTTTTCACTTTTTATACTATTCCCATGATAAAACCCCTTTATTGTATTTTCTCCAATTGATCCCATCCCAAGCTTAAGAATGTTTACATATGATCTAAAGAATAATCTTAACTCTAAGAAAAATATCCGAAAACAGTTTCCGGATTACAAAAATAATACTCGCAAATATTTGGCTTGAGTCTGAGGAATTTGATGAATGAGCAAAAGATGATGAAGCCTTGCTTTGCTGGTCAGCGTAATCTGAACAAGGAGTGTCATTGATTGATTTCGCTCTGGAGCATTGTGATTATCCTGCCGACCGATTCAAAATCAGTTGCAATTTGACTACAGTAAAATTATTATGGTACTCAATATCGTTATATTTCCTATTTATCATATTAATGATATTCTCTGCCTCCGTTGCATGGTTAGCATCACGGGAATTTATTTTTGTGGTAAGATCGTTATTAATTTCGGCTCTGATCTTGCCGATTTGTTCAGCGATAGTGGTGTTGATCTTGGTTTCACGAGTGTTTGTTTCATCGGTATTTTTTTGCTTTACATCCCACAGGAAGGATTCATCCATAAAAGGGCATATTTTCCAAAACGATGAATAGGTGCATTTATGCAAAGAAATTCCGATTAGAAATTTAATTATGGGACGTGCGGATTCCTTTGATTTAAGATGAGTGAAACTAAGTTTGATGAGTTTATTTTTGTAAGACCTTTGTTAATGCCACGTTGGTTTCGCAGACATCAGAAAAATTGCATCTTTTTATTGGATTATGTTTCGATCACTAATTTCGAATGTAAGCTTGGTATTTAATTCTCTTAACGAAATAATTGTAGATTGCATATCTGTCATCATTTT